GAGCCATTCCACGCCAAATCGCGCACTTTTTTTCCCTCCATATCTAAGCTTTTCTGAAATTTTGCTGATTTGTAGATTTTAGGGCTGTATACAGAAAGCCGAAAAAACCTGGAAAAGTGAATTCAACGTCTAGTTAGACCCCCTCAAACTTGCGAAATTTGCCAGGTTCCCGCTTGATAACCCTGACAAAAAGCGCTCTAACTACGGCGTTGTCCGTCTAAAAATCTAGCCATTTTTCGAGAAGTCAAAGTCCTATTGAGTTTTAGAATTATTCGTATCGTTAGAGCTAAAGATACAGAAGAAAACAAGGCTCCAGTTAAATAGTGAAGGTAGAGAAGCAGCGCCCCCTTTGCGGATGAAGGATCTGTTTCCTCTCTAAAAAGATAATAGTTTAGTGATTTTAGGTTACGTAGAGTTTTGTTTGCCGTTTTTACCACCTATTTTGGAAAATCATTAAAAGCGACAGATCCGGTTGCAAGAAAAGTTAAAGGACGTTATTACGTCGGTAATATCTTTTTAACTCCGAAGGGGGGAGGAATCGCTTTGCATTCTCTATTAGGAGGGCGCACAAACTTGAAAGAAACTTTGTGCAAATGAAAAAGTCTCGGTGTAATGCGTTTCCTTTTTAATCGTAAAGCTCGTTATCTAATCGTAACAGAAATGGAGGTTTTTCAAGAAAATACCCCTCCAAAATATGAATTTAAATATTTTTAATTCCCAAAAAATTAATTCAAAAGTTGAAGATATTTGCAATATGTGCTCGTCATTTTACTTCGCTGTTGATAGTTTTGGCGCACACGCCAACGACGGTAACTTTGGGGAGTGTACGGGTATTTAGGCGCTCTGTCGAATACAGCTGTTACCTTGTCTTGTGTTTTGTTTGTCTTAAACTTCTCCAGTTCTTTATGTAGAAATTGGACGACCGTTCCAAACATACGCGCGGTTGAGCTTCTGATTGGAGCATGAGAGATGCGTTATGATCTACCATCTTCACTGCGCCTAAATTTCGGGCAGACCTCAAATACTGAACTACAGAATTCTGACAAAAAACACTTGTGTACTTGTATAAGTAGCTCCAAATGCGGGCTTTACACAAAAGCAATAACTTTCAACTTGCTGTCAATTTTGCAATATTTGAAAACACTCCCAAACCTTCTCGCTTTCCTAAAGCTCAATAAATTTGGCCTCCTCTATTTCACAGTATTTCGGGCTTACAATGCTATGTCTAGCATGAAAACTGAAAGCAAACTCACTTTCCTTCCTGCTTTTTAGACCTGGAACTTCCAGCTTTCCCCAGACAGTGAGTTGTATTTCGAGAATTGTATTTCGACGGAAAAATTTTTTCAAAACAGGAAGGTAGTTCGGCTAGAAACCAATTTCAAGAAATTTAACGGATAGGGCTGCTATTAATACCGACCATCCTGCATCACATTTCTCACTCTTCCTTTTGAATAGATATCCATCTGCATCCCGTACTTCTGAACAGTTGCTGATGGAACTTAACTTGCACCT